GCAAAAGAAGATTACTGTCACTTCATCAGAAGGAGCTGAAGCATATCATCTCTCTAAAACGTGGAGGTACAGAGGGAGACAGGCAAGAGGAGACTGTGGAGATGGCAAGGGGGTGTTTGTGTGTGGATATATTCCCCATAAGACTTCCCAGGCTATCTGGTAGGGATTAGTATTTCTGTATATACAGGAGCAACCTTTACCTCTAGACACTATATATGATTACATGTTCTCTGATCAATAATCCCTTTTTATTTTGTTTATCAAAGCTTGCACAGGTGTATTATACTACTGAAATGTAAAAGGCAGAAGGACAGAGCAGAGGTATGAGCAACAGATATTGATAAATAGAGGATTACTCTCTGTTAATCAAACCCGGTTTATATGTTTAGAGATTCATAAGGTTTTGTAGGCTGAAAAATTACTACATTGCCCCCAGGAATTAACCTATTTCAGTGATGTGACGGCAAGATTAAAAAGAGACAAATAAAAAAGCAGACAATAAGAGGAAACTATTGATGACTCTATTCCAGTCTTTTCAATTGTAGCCACACTATCAGTGTCATTTGAAACTATTTAGGCACTAACTTTGTCAACTTTTAAATCGAAGGAGAAAGTTGCAGGGCTGAAACAATTAATCGGATTAATAGATTATTGAAATAATCTCCTACTAATGTAGTAATCGATTATTAATTCCTGGAGTATAGAGACTCTAAAACATGTCTTAAGCTGACAGAGCAACGCACTTGCAGCAATAATTATACCAAAACTGTGAAACAAATGTATAAATATTTAGCATTTAAGATTAAAAAAAAAACTTTTCATCTGTCAATATGCTCTATCCAGAACACTTCCAGAGGAAAAGTTTTAGTTTCACCTTGTTTAATTCTGTTAAAAAAATCTTCTATAAGGAATATTTTGCTTTATGTTTATTAATTGAAAGGATAACTGACAGGTTAACCAATTAGTAAAATAATCATTAGTTGCAGTTCTAGAAAGTTGGTTTGTAAATCCAGCTTTAAGATACTCTCAGTAATGTTATGGTTATTCAGGCACAGAGCAGTTAATTTTAAAACCAAGAAAACCAACAGGTGTGTAGATCTCCTGCCACACATGGCTCGTTTCACCCTTGTAGATATTTTAAGCTCCTAATATAATATTTAGTTTTCCCTCAATTCAAGTAATTTTAACAGGTGTATAAAATACATCAATATCTTGAATCAGCGGGCATTCCTTAGATTTAAAAATGACACAAAACCAAGTTTTTATATCCACATTTGTGTTAAAATATTTTCAAAAATCTATTTGCTGCTGTAAACAGCAGAATTTCCCTACTGTGGGACAATAAAGGGATTTTCTATTCCGTTCTATATCATGTGAGTGAGAGGACTCTTTAAAGTCTCTTGATATAATATGCTGTGAACTGGTGCCATATAACTAAAGTGAACTGAGTCTGAATGTTCAAACAGATACTGGTCAGGATGGATGGATGTATGGAGGGATGGACGGACGGACCTTCAGGACTGTAGGGATAAAGTCTTTAACTGCAATTTATTTTTTGTTTTTTCATACTTAATCTTGAAAATAAGGTACATAGATCAGTAAATCGATTCCATACCTTTTTACAGAGAAGCCTGTAATCTGGTACACTTTCAACATGGTAGCCCTGACTGTATATGTCCCACCTGCTGCAGGTAATGCTCCTATATATTTAACATGTTTGCAGAATAGTGAAATTAACATATCTTTCTATTGAGTACACCCAGACTCTCTTGCTCTACAACAGTACAGCTCTGCTCTCACTCTTATGTTGCAGTGAAAGAAACGTGAATGTCAAGGAGCGGCTAATCCACAAATCAGAGAGGAGAGGGACAAACTCTACTATACAGACGCGCACGTCGTGTTTTCACAGCCCAAGCTAATTGCGCCACGTTTCACCAGAAGAGCAGTGATTTAGCAGTCGGAGCAAATTAAAATGACTAAACACAATTAGCAGTGAGTGCAAAAGCACCTTTTCATGGTGCACATTTCTCTCTTCCCCCTTTATGATGACAATCACTTCAGCATGGCTATTACAAACTCTGATGTGTCAAGTACAATGTTACTAATTGCAAAACCCTTGATGTTACCATCATGCTTTTAATTTGCCAGACAGTAAAATATACCCTGAACAGGGCAGTAAAATAATCCACAAACAGCCCTGAAGAAAACAAACATTAAATTGATCAATGAACTGATATAATGCTTGTAATCTAAGAATTAAAACTTAGAGAATCTATTATTAAAGCAATGACAGTGTCATCATGTGTTGTCAAAGTTAATCAGAAGAATCAGTAGAATGTGCCTAATAAGATAATATGAATAAATGATTTATATGCAGAGTTAGTTAGCTTTCTATTCAAGTAAAAGAAAATGTTTCCAACCAAAAAAAAATCCAATTTTCATTTTAATGAGCTCAGCTTTAAAGGACGTACTCTCTGATCAGTTTTTCTTCTTTCTTCTACCGTTGATTACCACACTGATAAATTTCAATCAGTGATTTCTGCAGACAGCCATACTAAACACGCCATTAACTAAACAAACATACACCCCCTCTGACATTGCTGCAACAGACATGCTGGTCATGCGTGGCTGACTGTGCCAGGCAGTCAATCCATGGCATTCCCAGTGCCTTATGTCCCACTTTTCTGGTTATTTGACAATGATCAGGGGTGATGAATTGTTCAATTAAAGCCACATTAAGAATCCAGAACACATTTGACGCGGAGCCTCTCGGTTTAGGTGTTGTCCAATTACTCTGAAGGACAAGACTCCTCTTCACCGCTGACAATCAACATGTGACTCTCATCACAAGACAAATGAGTTTATTTATGCAAGGTAGCAAGGCTGATTGAATTCCCCAATGCAAGACTGATGAGCTGGAGTTAGAAAAATTGTGAAAAAACCTCAACTTGCTTTAGAACTAGATATGCACAGAAGGTGTCAGAGTGTGTTATTTACAGAGGAAGAGCACAAATACCTGCTGTTTATAGTGAGGGCTGCCCTCAGAGGGGTGGCATACCAAAACCATTTGCTGTTGCCATATAAGGGGGGCAGGAGAGGTGGAACTAGGGTTAGGAATGGACATTCAAAAGTGACTAAACAAATATATAAGAGTTTTTCCTCTCATCTACATGAGCTATTTTCATAAAAATATAATTCCTACAAAGAGAACGGTGGGGGGTTGATATTAGTGCATATTTGCCCACAGAAAGAGGGATTGTCAGTGTTTCTACTGAAAAGAAGATTACTGCAATTTACTTAGTTTACCAACAAGAAGAAAAGAAGCTGAACTAAATGGTCTGGAGCAATTTTTAATGCCACACCTCAGGGGGACGGATTATTATGTTGTAAAACGTAATTACTCAAAGCATTAATAAATCCTAGATCAGTTAAAGGTGCAACTAGTTGTAGAAGGACCAAAATGACTCAAGTTGCTGAAGACAAAGCAGCAAAAAGTATTTTATTCCCTCGTTACAAATAAATAAATAAATAAATCACATGCAGCCCTTTTCCAATCTGATGATGGATGATTCACCTCTGCCAGGCAGATTTGAAAGTAAGCGCCAGTGTTACTTAGTAACCTGCAGCTATGGATTCTTTAGATGTGATTGCATTTCTGCCTGGTTTGGTATCCTGTCTGTCCAAATGAAGGCCAAACTTATTTGCCTGACTCAAAGAGCAATGAAGTTGATGGGAGTCAAGCAGCACCCCTCACTTCAGACCATCTTCAATGAAACAATAACCAGACAAGCCCAGAAAATCATCTCAGATCCCACTCATATTCTTTATTCAGAGTATCAGTTTCTTCCTTCAGGTCGACGTCTTAAAGGAATTGTACACCCAAAACATGATTAGCCTTCATTTTCTACTCACCCCCATGCTATCGGCCAGTATCGGTATCGGATCGGAAGTCCAAAAACAATATCGGTATCGGATCGGAAGTGAAAAAACCTGGATCGGGACATCTCTAGTATGGAGGAATATTGACACGTTTTTTGTGGACTTTTATGGACCTTTCTGTCTCGGTCACCATAGACCTCCATTATTTGAATGTCAGCAGACAGCAAGAAGCCTCCCAGATCTCCAGATGCATTTGAGATA